AGGGATGGAATATCTGAGATATATTAATTAATTAATCTTATTTTGTATTTATATGTATACAAAAACAGAATCAAAAGAATTATCTAGAATCAAATTATTACGACTGTTATAGTTTAATCTACAATATTCAATGTTTAAAAGAACATTAAATAAAATAAACATTGCGGTGTTTTGTGGTCAAATAGCTATACCAATGCCATGTTTCCAAATAACCATACCAATACCAAGCCAAAATAGACAAGCCAATGCCAGATGAAATTAAGAAAATAGTTTTGGCTGGGTTGATTATTGTCAAAATCTCACTTATTTCAGTTTAATTCCCTCCACGAACGACAGTTAGACAGTTAGTAGCATTATCGAGTTATTACAGAATACGAAATTTAAATGTCACATTGGATTTTCGATGTTCGAAACGTTTACAGAAAGCTTAAAAGATTTTAAACAGCCACTAGACGAGGTGATTAGCACACAGTATCCTAAGCTTCGAATAATTTGTGGACATTTTATCAATCCGTGAATATTATATATTATGTAATTTTTTACACATCGCAAGTACTACTTTATGTAATGGGCTAGATGACAACTTTTTTTTATTTCATAAATAAATAGTCCATTAACATTTGAGAAATAAAGTCGAAGTAACAGCATGTCTGCGATTAATACTTTCGGGATACGGTGTTGTGTTTGTAGAACTGCTGCTAGTTGACCGAAAACGCTCCCTACAGATTTCAGGCACTCAGTGACGTCACACGGTGCTACAATATCGAAAAATGCATGGGCGCCTGGAAAATTTTTGTAATATCTTTGTTATTTGTGAGTTTATGTTTATAGCTGTTATAATTAAAGTTGTAACATTTTTTATATCTAATTTAATGCCTTGTGTATTTTAGCAAATTTTTGTACTAGATTTTCACTACTTTTTTCAAGTTTTTTGTTAAACATTTATAAGTTAAATGGTTCATATTTTTCGAAGATATAACAAAAACCTGTATTTTCACTTATAGGACCCAAGCCTATTATAACATATAATTTCACTATCTATACACATTACTCGGCATTTTTTAAATGTATATATTTTTCACAGATGAAGCTTGTAGGTTGTCAAGTTTATAGAAATTAATCAAAGTTATATCTAGAATCACACAGATGAAAGCGACATTCTCAAGCAGGTAGGTTCTTTAGTGAACATATTTCCTCAATTCCTCTATTACAATATTAAGACTTCTGTCGGTAATATGGTATACGTTGCTCTAAGTTAAGTCTTTTCATTGTGTTCTCGAATGCAATAGGCTTAGGTACATAGTAAAATTAATAATGGTAAGCTAGACCTTTGTTCTTATGCTATAGCTTGGGGAATTCTCGGTGCACGCTGAACACTGCATTGTAAGTCAATTTATAATTGATGAATTAGTACGTTTTCATGTTAAGCTTAATTAATTTTTTACATTTAAATAGAGTAAATTTTATAAAAACGAACAATTGTCAAAGATTGCCCAGGTACTAATGAAGTCCTCTGGTCAATTACAAAAAATTTAAATGAAAGTCAACCAAATCATGCACCAATCAGACACACTACCTGTTAGCACCCTTATATGGCGTAAGCGTAAAAAAGAATTTATAGATTAAATTCTTTTATTTTCTTTTAAAGTAAGGTAATGTGTCAATAAAACGACATACCCGTATTTTAATAAAATAAGAAACAATTTATTTATGTACACTAATATAACTATAAATTCTATATTTACATTAATTACGTTGAGCAAAATCAATTCATAAAAGTTATTAGAAAATTGTAAAAATTATACACAGTCTAAACCAGTTGGTTATTCTTATAATAAAATTATAAACTTGATCTTCACAATTTTTTTATTAACATTATAAAACCACATTTAAACTTAACGTGAGCCATAAGAAATTCATTGAATTATTACACTAATTTTTGATGATAAAAATACGTATTATAAATATAAAGTAGCAATTTTTGTTTGCCCAACACTAGATTTTAAATTATTCACTGACCTGACTACGGGCTAACTTAAATTACCACAGTAATATATAATGTAAAATGTCATATATTACAATATATTATGCGACAACAACAAAATAAAGCTGGACTAAATATTCACCAATGTAGAAATGAAGTAAAAATCATAAGATTTTCTCACACATATCAGTGCCGGCTTAATACCGATACAGGTCCTTATCAGTGATTAATTAATCTTTCATACATTATCCATGTATTCTAACCACTCGTTGGTGTCAGTGCAGCCATACACCGGAAGACAAAGTTTTTGTTCGGTCATGGACGCAGTTTAGAAGACAGTTGAATATTGAAAATATTTACTTTGGTTTTAATATATTCTTCAAATGATATCATAATTTATCCTGCTGTCTTCTTCATTACATGAAAGCATCATAATTATATCTTCTTTATAGTTATATGCAATCGGGTCTTGTTCGTGCATTTTTTAAAACAATTAATTTACCTCGACGTTTCGGCTACGTTACAGCATGACCACGGCTGCTGTAACGTAGCCGAAACGTCGAGGTAAATTAATTGTTTTAAAAAATGCACGAACAAGACCCGATTGCATATAATTATAATGTATACAAATCGTGTGAGTTTAAAAATATTATTAGCAAACCGATACGGGCCGGAAATTGCAAACAAAGTGCGCCATCTAGAATCGTTACGGAAGAAAAAAGTGAGGTTAGAGGAGTCTCCTCGTGACCACGGCTGCTGTAACGTAGCCGAAACGTCGAGGTAAATTAATTGTTTTAAAAAATGCACGAACAAGACCCGATTGCATATAATTATAATGTATACAAATCGTGTGAGTTTAAAAATATTATTATATCTTCTTATATCGTTGCTTATTATGCTTGACGAAAAACTAACATGTGTCAATAGTACGGGCGCATCACTATAGCACTGATACGAACATGTGCCGGCAATGTGCCGGCGCTGACACTGATGTGTGTGAATAAGACTTTATTATTATTTATTTTATTTATTTATATGTTTTAGCCCTCGATTATAGCGGTATTTTGACTAACCGATTAATTCTTTGTTTCCACTACTTATGTAGTAGTTCATTTATTTTTATAAGTCTAAAGGCAGTATTGAAATAAAGAATTATATCTATTTTGATGACCAATAATCTTCTCAGATATATTGTCGAATAATATAAGAAGAGCTACTTATAAACATATTCATGCCCGATCGCTTGCAGGTAGATAATGTTCTAAACTTTGGGTATAAATAGTAAGAAATATTACAAATGGATCTCACAGAATGAGACATTTAGTGGAACTTCATACCCAAATACTGATCGTATCAAAATCTATAGACCTATTTTTTAAAAGATGCTACAAATCTTTCATTGACTTTATTTGCTTTCATTTAAAACAATTCTCGCTACGAAACTGACTAGGAATTATATTAAAAGATCTAATGATGACTCCTTTGTTATGAAGAATATATAGATATCATACATAAGATCAAACGGAATAGATAAACATTTAAACATAATACAACCCAAACATTTTTAAATTAGTATTATATAATCACTTTGTTAGAATTTCATATAACTTCTTGAGATCAAACAATAGATAAAGAAAATGTTTAGTTGAAATAATAAAATGGTATCTATTTATATTTATATTAGAATAAAAAAATATGGATCGATATTATTATTATTACAATGCATTATTATTAATAAATTGTAAATAATTTTAATAAAGTAACAAATATTGTAAATATTTTTTTATAAATTTCACCTAGTTTTGATGCTAGAGGCTTTGGTAAAAAAACAACTTCAATAAGTACTTCAAAAAAGGTTCCTTCAGTTTCTCACGAAATCCCTATGCATTCTTTTTTGTCATAACACTTTAAAACTATTATTTAGCTGTTCAACTAATAAGAACCAATCTTCGATAAGGCTCGATTTAAAGCGAGACTATTTTAATAATACTATTTTTTTACAATCGAACTGCCATTTCAGTATTCTTTCAATACAAATACTTAATTTGGAGGATTGAGGTATTGGGAAAAATTTGTGGTTGAAAACTTGCCACTTTTACAATTAAAAGGAAATACTCTTGTTCTGATGAATAATCACCGATGAAATGGGATGTTAAGATTTCATGCTAATTTAAAATGGAACTAATTACAACAGAATAAAGTATAGTTCCAAGCAGCGATTCTCCTGTTGTTTTTGTACAATAAAGCGCCGCTGAAATTGTGAAAACTTTGAGTAACATTTCGCAACTATTATACAAATAATTGCATACAATAAACCTTCGTGTTAGCTTTTATATTATACGACATACCTACATAAATTAATAATAACGAAAATAATGACAACTGCAATGATATTATTACCACAGTGCTCCGTCATAGCCCAATAAAATTTATTCATTCAAAATAATCTGGATACGTAGACATGGTTTATGTTCGAATTCATTCGGAAACAAAGAAGCGATGCTTTGGCCAAAAAGAAGAAATATTCATATTGTGTTTATAGAAAATATAAAAGGCCGCACAGACACACGCAGAGAAGTGTCACCGAGCCTTCTTTGGCGAGAAAAAATATAGAGGAATAAGAAGGCGAGAAATATATCACATTCACGTGTCTCGGGTGTTCTTGGGGCTTCACGGTATGAGTCTGTTGGACCTATAAGTATATTAATATTAATAATTGAAACCATAAATAACAAAGCGTATATAAAAACACCATTAGGTTTCAGACTATCGAAAAAGCACTTTTTGTTTTCTAAGAGCTTGTAATGCACATGCCCTTTAGGTAAAGTTTATAATATACAACATAACCTACTTAGGCTCGTGTTAAAATACAACACCTTTTATTATTAGTTTTGTTTACAATTGGTTGAATTTTCTTGCTCACGTTAAAACATCATCTTAAACAATCAATCTTATTGAATATCGTATGAAAAAGTCGCATTTGTACTTTAATTCGCTTACAATTAAGTTGCTTATGCTATGACTCAAGTCTAGATTGTCTACTGTTTCTGAATGATTCTGTGGATTTATTTTTTACAGCATTGTCACTCAAAACCGGCTGAGCTGTGAAAAAGAATAATAAGCTTATTTAAATATTCATAAATAATAATATCTAATATAACATATTTTACAAAATGTAGCTTTAAGAGCAAATATTTTGAGTTGACCACTACCACAAATAACCACAATTCACTTAAATGAAGTAATAAATAAAAAAATCGGGAAAATATGGTTAATGATACGGTTTGATTCGATTTAATTTATATCTTACCGAACATTCTCAGAAGAACTTTTTCGATCCCATGTATAGGTGACTCGAAAATTATACATAATAGCATTCCTAGGGTGAATGTGATAATTATATGAGCTACACACGTAAACGTCTGTAAAAAAAGAAACATTTATTTAGACACTTACTTATAAATAGACTCTTAATATTTCAAAATCATTTAGTATACATTCAAGAAAAAAATAGTAACATAAACTGTTCTATTCTAGAATGATTCACAATCATCATCAGTATCAGTCTTTGAATGTGTATTATGTATGGAATAGAAGCAACGGGCCATAAACCACCAATGCCGACTGGACTAAGGACTGCAAATACAGCTGAGATTGAAGGCTTAACATGCCTTCTGAATCAAAGAAAAGCTGGAGATAATATAGTTTTTGCCACAAATCTAATGATTTGCCTTTGCTAAATCTGCCTAACCTCCAATCAAAGACCAGTAGCAAACAAGTTACTAACCATATTAACTATATCCACATGCAATGGATGTCTCAGTTGTCCAACAGCAAACAACTCAACGATACCGTTTACCAGGTAAGCGCAATAGGTCAATCTCGAGAATGGAACCAAGAATTTCCAAGTGAAAAGTTTTGTCATGATACCTGCAAAAAACAAACATAGGTTTTCCTCGACTTATACAATCCAAAACCATATTTCCCCAAGTGGTCCAAATGAACTGCCAGAAGTCCAATATAATCTATTCTTCACATATGATGTTATTTAGAAATCTAGAGATTAGAGTCCAGAGTTTGGAAATATCATAAGAGGATATCATTTCGATATATTTATGAGACAGTTGTTTTTCTTGATAAATATTATGATGGCATTGTGAATAAATGTGACGCCTTTAATGCTTTCGTCAAGTTATGTTTTGTGATGATATGGAATTAAAACATCACTATCCAAAATTACGCTATGACAGTTTATAACAGAATTTTGTTTAGAAATCAAATAATTTTCGTAGATAGATAGTATTTAATACAAACTAAATATCAACTTGTGGTACTCAAACACGCAAGAGCCATTTCATGCAAAGCAATGGCCGATTCTGTTCAACGATATTTGTTTAGTGATCGTGTACGTGTACATGGTTTTCATGCAGCTTACAGTAGTTGTGGCCTCAAAGCGAGCTTTTAGCAAATAACTGTTGTGTACCTTTGCTTCAAGGTTGGATCTAATTTGATGACGTCCTGATTACAAATCTAAATTAATCTGTTTGTTTAATTACATCGAAAACGTCATTGCAATCCGTGGCGTTTTTGTAACAATCCTAGTACTAAGCTTATTGTTAATAGAAGAATGAGAGCAACAATATGTATTATTTTATATTAAACAATGATTATTTTTATTAAATAATGCAATTTATGAGTATTAATCGAGGGATTGTTAATTACGGGATTTAAACTTTTGTCACTTTTTTGATCACTTTTTTTTTGGCCCTTTACAAGTGGAATAAATAATGTGATTGAAAAAAGTAATACAATACTAATCATTCGAAAATAAGTTCAAAAACTGAAACCCAACTACAGCTAAATCGCGCTCTAAAAAGTTTGAAACAAAAAAAATATTTTATAGCGACGAGCAAAGGTCGTATGTCACAACAGTATGTTTTGTTATAATCAGTGGCATACGTTCATACAATAATTATGATTTTTAAGATTTTAATAAATTGTATTAAACAATAATTCAAATACATTAGATACAGTGTTTATCTCCAACTAGCTAAAATTATGCAAACGAAATTTTGTAGCATTTGCAACATCAATCACGAGACAGATATGAACCAATTTTGAAATTCTAGTTAGAGAATTGAAAAATCGTAAAATGAAAACCAAATAAATGAGACTTTTTTTAACTGGCAAAGTGAGAGGCACTTATCAAAAGAGGTCGTAAATGTTGAAGTTTAAGTAATATTTTTTTGTAATGAAAAATACCCAAAATATCCAAAGGTCTCATGACCTTTTGCAATTTGGGCGACTGCTCTAACTATTGAGCTACCCATGATTGCGAAAGATGATAAATTCGAGTCCCATCTCAGAGTGCCAGGGACAAAGTGGATTTTGGAGCATTTTTATTGAGAATATTTTTCAGTATATCATTGTGAATGTAAAATGTATCAAATATAATATATTTTTTGTTTATCTTCAGTGTATGTTCCAATCATGGTATCTTTCGGAGGATACCCAACTGTTTTTCCTTGCACCTATATTCACATACGAGTATACCCTTTGGAGATGAAGAAGAGTAGGCCAAGAAATTTATTTTATAGCGACAGCTATATTATAATAGTTTCAAACTTTTTAGAGCGTGATTAGCTGTAGTCGGGTTTTAGTTTTTGAACTTATTTTTTATTTGATTGATCTTCGGATGGTAAAAATATAAGCTGCCATTTACCTCCGTTTCCAGTGGCACACGCGATTATTAGCCAGCCATTAGACAAGCCCCACGCAAGTCGAGGCAGTGAGGTGTAGGCAGCTGACTCTATCCTGTTGTAAATGTACCAGTCCTGGTAGAATATGCTGACAGTGAAGATTGTCATCGAGCCCAGAATGACTGATACTATCCAACCAAGAGTCTTGACCGTTCGGGACAATTCGTAACTGAAAAAAGATATTACTTATGATAGGAAAGACGTAACTGAAAAAAGATAATACTTATGATAATCATACAATAGTTGTAACTTATTGTATATTAGATTTTAAGTAATTGAAACACGTTTTATCATAATCTTCAAAGCGAAAAAATGAATCTGCGAAAAACAAAATTGAAATATTACTATGTATGTAGATAATACTGTTTAAGGCTCTGGTTTTCTGCGACGCTTACGATGCACTAGGATATGCCACCACAAGTGGATCTGTTTCTATTATTTTTCCATCGATATTTTAAATGTTCTCATAAATAAACAATTAGAAATATTTCGTTTATTTGATCTCGATAGCATTTTTTGACGACTCTAAAAACAAAAATACTCACTTTTCTTTCTGTATCCGATGTAAGAGATATCCCGTTAGCAGCCCCAAGAAGTAAGACGGCATTTTCATATGAGTCTTTATATAGGCTACATTGAAGTAGTAATTCGAAATGATGTCATATAGCTCCCTAAAAAGTTTATATATTTATAATATTTCAAATTACTGTTATTTGAGGCTATTATAGTTTGAACGTTAATTAAATTATATGGAATAAATGTATAATATAAAATCGATAGTGTCACAAGTTTTTCTAGCTGGCATAAGGTACCAGTCTTACCAACAAAATGACTTCTATATATATCTCATCTCTAACATTTCGGACTGTAAATGGAAATGATAAAAGAGCTGCTAATGCGTATTCAATACAAATTATAATTTAGTACTCAGCTGAGTTACTCGGTCGAGATGTGCAAGTTTGATAATTTGAAATTGATATAAATAGCACATATAAACTTATTATTTATCCCATGAATTGTACATTAATCCTATTAATTGTAATTAATTGTACCCAGTACAATTTAATTGTATTGTACACAATTTGGGCAATTTTATTAATTTTATTGTACACGATATGGGCAAATATTCGGCATTAAACGGTTATTTGCCGAATACCCGAGTAGTTATTAGCTGAACAAAATTCTGAACTTACTTAGCATAAACAAGTAGAGTCGGATCCAAGTTGTCCTTATAAGTTATTATGGCTGGAACTATGGTACCTATGAAAAGTGTAACACCAAGAATGCTTGGGCCAACTCTTCTCCACCTCCAAAGACTATATATGAATATAGGTGCAAGGAAGAACAGTTGGGTGTCCACCGAAAGATACCATGATTGGAACATGCACTAAAAATAAACAGAAAATATATGCTTATTAGTTAAACTTCAACATTTACGAGCTCCGTTGATTGGTGCCTCACACTTTGCTGCTAGTTAAAAAAACGCGTTTATATGATTTTGGATTCGATTCTTAAATTAGAATTTTCAAAATTAGTTGACATCTGAGTGTTGTGATTGATTTTTCAAATGCCACAATTTCTTTTGCATAATTTTAACAATTTGGGGATTAACACTGTATTTGATGGTTTTTGAATGATTGCTTAACACAATTTATTAAAATCTTAATATCATAATTATTGTAAGAATTTATCGGAGAAAATTAGGTTAAAATGCATTTGTGTACTGCATTTTGATGTTTCTCTGTGTTGTGTCCAGTGTAACGCACAAGGAAAATAATTTAATCAGTCATTAATATTTTGTAGTTAAAACCAATTTTCTTTTCGGTCCCGCGAAGAAACATTGTTATGATTATTATTAAAATAAATTAAGGACAAGAACTTCTAATGTTTTAATCTCGTTATCTTTCATCCAGTAATCACTTGTGTCAAACGTCTATACATTGTCAAAGGCACATAAAGTCATTCGAAATCAAATTTACTCTTAGGTTTTAAACCCCATTGTGCTAAAGTTATAGTGCGAACCACTGTGATAGGCCAGCATTTGCAGAGCACTTCGAAGTTTGACATTTTGCTCAAGTACACAGTGTGTCTTATAAATAGGTTTTATAGTAATTCTATTTCAATAAACTTCTTAGTTTGAGAATACTCACCATATTTTCAGTGTCGACATAATTATTGACATACAAAATATTAGTCCACCAAGATTTTTCACATCGCTCCTTCTCCAATAAGATTTTATCTTTCCATAGCGGACCTTCTCCAATTTTTGGAAACCATGTCATATAGAAAAACAATACAGCCAAATACGCCGGGGTGAGTCTAGAAACACAAAACAATGCACAAAACTATTCTGACTGCCATATCATACACGAGATATAACTGTTACTTGCTTGATTAGACCTTGATTGACAATGAGATATTATATAACATGCAAACTATTATCTATTTTCAATAAACATTTATTTATAATATATGATTCACAATTTTTTATTTAAATACAATCTGGCACAAATAGATCGTAATTGGTAAATTACATGCCGTATTTCTAAGAACGTTTTTAAAAATCCTCAGTGTACTTAAACATCATTAAAATCTAGAAAAAAATTGCGAAGTATGCGAAAAATTTTAATGAGAATCTTAGATAAAATACTAAAAGCACTAAGCTTTATACACTCAATTGAACAAACGATATCTATGTTAATAAGGACTTCAAGCTCTAATGAATTTTCTACGTTTGAACATTTGTATCAATAATGTCACTTCAACTAATGTCAATTTTAATGGATCTTTGTGCAACTGAGTGTACTTACACTTTATTTTCAAATCCCTATGCACCCACACTCGTAAGATAGGATTTTGAATAAACTAGTTAGTTAGTTTAGAAGTTATATTCAAAATCCTATCTTATAAATTCTCTGTGTCGTAATATTTATTATATAGTGTCCCAAATTTCAGCTCCATCGTTCCAGTACTTTGAGCTATGTTTTAATGGATCAGCCAATGAGTCTCTTTTCTTTTCTATATGGATATAGATTTAGTATATTATATAAACTGAAGACTTTCAGTTACGCACCGGATATATCGAAATATTAGGATAGGCAATACGTTGAGCTTTCCACCCTTTTTGTCCAGTTCAATGAGAAGGAGCCGGCAAAAGAGAAACGCGCTGATCATAAGAAAGGTGTCCACCAAGAGCATGCTGTTTGTTATCAAACTCAATAACGGGCTTCGGATGAGCTGCAAAAAATAATCAATTCATTAAATAAACATAGAAATAGGTAAGTTTTTATGTAAAAATTTGCGCTTAACAATTTTATTAATTAGCAATTAGCAATATACGTATTATGAAAATTGTACGTCCGTGCATTACATTGTATCATACATACATTTACTACAGCATTATCAGACCTATCGACCCTGTACATGACGGATGCTATTCTCTTTCGCTGAATAGCATTGAACGAATCGATACGACTTTCTGTGAACATTTCAGATCCACTGCAATAACGGTTCAGTCTCATCAGATGTCGAAAGATGTTATTATATGTTACTCGTAGGCTATCATGTCCTTTTTTAGTGTATTCAGTCTAGAGTTGACATGTATAAAAAAAATGACAAAAGACCTAGAGGGCGTTAATTTCACTTCATTAGAAGCTCAACAATACTATTGGGCAATCCTATTACCCACAAAAACCCTACATTGATGTCCAATATCGGCATCATCTATTAAGCAATCAAACTAAAACGTGGCCAAGATACTTGAACGTATTTAGTATTTTGATGGGAACCATTATTACCATTAAGTCAAACTGTTGATACATTGAAAGGACTATTTCCGGATCTTTGTCTCACTCCACATGAAATTTTTTATCTACTTAATATTTTCGAACCCCATCTTACACTACAGGGCTGTTCACGATACCAGTATACCAGAAGATCAACAACCTCAGGACGAACATTTACTTCCGCATTACGTAACTTTTACCATGTTAGTTCATGATTTAAGCAGCTGTCATTGGCAAATTAATAGTCACAGGGTCACAACTCGTAGAAATAAATAAATATACATTAAACAACATGACATACATAGTTCAGGTTCCAAGATGAGTAGCTAAAGTACTCATGTTATGGAGGATCTGAAACAACGTATGTATATGTGTAAAATTTGGAAAAATCATTTCCACCATTCTGCTACAGAGATATTAGAATACTTCGGATTGCGTGAGAAACTATGAAAGACTTTTACTGTGTTCAATTATCAAGTCTATGGAAACCAATCCTCCAATAAATTTCAAGTTCAAATTTGATTTTAGGAAATTTGCATTTAGTGGTAATATGATGTTATCGTCATCAGCTCTTTTTATCTTCCCAAACACTGAACAGTTAGAGATAATAATTTTTTGGTCGCCCATCCCGTGATTGAGCCTTGCGAAAATTGCTTAACATCAACGATCGAAGACCTAGTGTTTGCATTGGTGATGTTTTAGATCCTCATTATGCAAAGAATATTCATTCATAGAAAATACTAAAATTATTTCGTTCATGTGAATTATCTTTGAATTTTTTAAGTCTATAGTTTCTTTTCCTTTGGTGACAAGATTAAATATTGAGAAACTATTTCTAACAAGCCCTGATTTCTATCCAGGTCTGGCCTTTCACACCAGATTTCAGAAACAAAGATTTCTTCATTCAATTTATTCAGTCTGGTCACTCAATTAACGAAACAAGACCAAGATTAGATATTAATATTATGTTTATTACTTATTTATGATTATTTAACATTTAAGAAACAAAAGTGTCAAACGCCTATGTGAATAAGGTTTGTATAATACTTTTCTCTTTTATTTAATATGGTACGAAAATGCATTTAAGCATCATAACAAGTGTTATATTCAACGTAATAAAATCAATAATTATAAATATATGTGTACTTTACTCACATTATCCCAGCCTGATGCATCCATTACAGGGCCAGCACCAACAAATAGACTAGAATGGCCAGCCAAAATGAAAATCATGGCCAAAGCTTTAATGCCAGCGATACACTCTAGACCGAGACTCGTATTCTGCTTAGTTGAGATAATTTTCTTTATGTTATGGATGGCGGAAAAAGCGATAATCAGCTCGTGAGTGATAGTCTGTTTATTGCTACCACAACTCAAGGAGTAGACCTCGTAGAGGGTGCTCATCAGAAAAATAGCAACGAAAAACAGAATTACTGCTCTGAAACAACATAAAAAACTGCAATTATTTAAAACTGAAAAACGTATTATCCTTATTTAAATAGTTCATCAAAAAAGCAAAACTAATATTTTACATTATATCTTTAATTTCCTTGACAATCCTAATTTAATTTAGCCAAAGAGATTTTCTTCTATTTTTTATTACTTAACAATATCAATTAGATGAACATAATTGTATGACCGCAATAATAGGATATCGAAGCAAACAATTTTATCATAACACCTTGTGTAGTACGTGTAAACTTTATTGATTCAATAATTAAAATCATATTAACTTGTTTTTATTATAATAATAAATAATTTTTGAAGACTTTGAGCGGAAGATTTTTATATTGATATTTTATAGGATTTAATTATTTGTTTTTAATAGATTAAGAGTAGTCATAAATAAAAAAGATTTCTAAAATACGGTTACTGCGAACTGTGTTTGAAAGTAATACGAGGTGCTAGTATCTATATCTATGCATTAAAATAATTGCAAGTTCATAATTGCATTTTAGAATTTGTTAATTAATTAATTAATCTACCTTCATGTTACTTTATTATCGGGTCTTTAATACGTCTTCTTAAGCTTCCTTGATATTCATAAATTTTTTCGTAGGTGGTCGCCAGTTTTTACGGTTTCTGACGCCAGCTTAGAACACGCGATTTAGTTCATGCATATTTGACCCAAGGTGACCAAAAATGTATTTATGTTCTTATTTATTATATTGCTAAAATATTGAATCCACGATGCTATGATGGTAAGCAGTACTTTTTACAAGTTTTTATTTAATTTGTCATGTACTTTATATAAGTTAAACCTTGTAAGCAAAATATCGACACCCGGCTTTACATTAAATTGATTTTTTGCATTCATATATGACTTGGACAGCGATACTATAGATAGTTCAAAAACAACCCGCTGTTGAAAAGAAAAAGAGGTACATCTTCAATCATACGTACAAGTAAACCATGTCTTTTGTAGAGACTGTTAACGGTTCCCTGGCGAAACAATCCCGACTGGTGACAGCAACAGTTGTTGTGTTGCCAACTGTCCGCGAGATGACGCCACTGACAAAGTCTTGGACTGATCGCGCGTCGCACGCATTAGGTACGCATACCGCCCAGCGAAGGGTCTCTCCACGGCCAGTGCGGACCTGGAAATATTAAAGAGGATGTTTCAGAAGATTCTGAACTAATCTTAACTTGATAGATATAATGGAAAACAACAAAGCAACGTGAAAGACTGTTGACAAAATTATAAAGTAGTGAAAAAATACAATTCAGAATTTTTAGGAAGAGACTGATGCTACTATTTAAATTCTCACCAAAATTGACTTTAAATTCAACCTTTTTAAATTCAACAATTTCGTGACTTATTTGGTAAAAAATGTTTTTGAGAAGAACATAGAATTAAATGTAAGAACTTAGAAACAATTACGATAATTTTACAATTAACGAAGTATTTAAGTAATTAATCAAAAATAGTTTTATTATGCATAATTTGCCATCGTACGTCCCTTTACGAGAAGACTTACACGTTATGTGTTTTGATGTTGCCTTTCAACTTTTACAAGACGTTCTCGAATACTACCTAAATTAAAGATTGTTCTTTATAAAATGATGGGGAGACATTATGCTAGCAATGTCTTTCAATATAAAAAAAAACGAAAAGAGTTCTTTATTTTTGGTTCACAACAGAAACACCAAACACAATTTAGACTCGTTAATTTTTAATAAAACACGAAGCCGTGGTGTTATTTTTAAAATATTAAAAAAGGTACCTAAAAGAAGAGAGTGACAAATATTATTATAGTCAAATTTTTCGTCGTTCAAAAAATAATGTACTGTGGTATCAAATACTATAACGGTGCTTTTGTCTCACCTTTTGATTTTCCGCCTGAGGCCACCTGATTGTAGCTAAACAATACTGTCCCTCAATGTCCACTCCATCCTCTTTACTCTTTGTGTCGACACACTCATCGAAATTACCGAGATGGTAAGATGACCCGAACAGCAAACCTTGGGGAGACTTCGAAGAGGCGTCGAACACTGGAAAATAAACAAAAGGATTTATAGAACGCGTATGATTATGCGTCTATATAATTACAAATAAGATTGATCTTGATATTGAGTTAACAATTATTGGACGAAAATTGAATTACGGGTATAATGACTCAGACAGAAATGGAGAAAATGTAAACATCAATTATGTACGGCAAACAATGCTGATAAATTTTTATGAAATCGATGAAAATAGTTTTAAACTATTGGTTTGGTTTTGAATAAGTTTACTTGTTGACCTTAACAGTTATTTCGAACAATTTTTAGAGTTTGTGATACGAAAGACATCAGTTTCCTTGATATGAAAATGACACCAAATTTTAAAAAGTCAATTTTCTACTGTATGAAATAATATAGGGCGAAAAAGCAGCCTTTGCAGAGTTCCTTGCCGGTTCTTCTCTGTACAAGGTGTCCTGCTATAGATTTACGAACCGATGGCTATGAGTTTCGACTTTCACAAGTTACAAAACACTTATTAAGCACAGCTTAGACTTAATAAATATTTTGAGTTAATTTGATTTGATTCACAACCCCGTAATTAGTAAAAAAAAAATCTCAATCCAGATCACACATTGCAAAACAAAAAATATTAAATCAAAAGGAGCAATTCACTTTTCTTGTCGGAGTTTGTTTCGCCAATTCTTCACTGACAAGACTCCCAAATTTGGAACTGATGGTAGATTACGGTAGCCAGGAATAATAATAAATAAGTCAAATGAATTTTTTGAATAGTTTAATTTAATAAATGTAAACGTTGCTATAAAATATATTTCTTTTTGTATTGTGAATGTGTTCAATAGTATTGGTTTGAAGAACTCTTAATTAATATGACAATCAACATATGTATTCTTATGTGGACCTGTAAAGGGTCCGAAACACAATAAAACCGTTTATCACTTATGGATAGTGCGCGTGAAAATATAAGAAATCAATATATATTTATTAAGCTATTTTAACAAAACTATACTTTAGCAGCTATACATATTTTTAGACTCTTAATACTGCTAATGTTTCCGTTAATTGCATCTCATTCTCCATGTCGTCTCAACTAATTGTTTTTTACCGTTGCTATCTACCTGAAGTCGAAAATTATTAATAAGAGAAGAAATTTCTTTTTCGCAAATCAATAATGACAAATATAATTTTTAAATAAATCTGTTCTCAGATAAAAAAATAAACTATTTTATTCAACGATTGCTAAAAGAGAAAATATAAGACACATGTAAGTATTGTAAAAACTCTATACAAAATATACCAGTCACCTTAACACCATTATTATTCTACAGATTTACAAGTATTCCCATCCTGTTCCGTCAGTAATAAGCACGTCGTCGTTCTTATGACAGTTGAATATTAAGTACTGTTATTGGTAATGAGATAAATTTTTAAATACACAAGTTATTTCAAAATTTAATAAGACTTTTGATTTTTATATACCTACATAAATGCATATCCTAATGATTTATCATGATAAATGAATCAGTACTTAATATTCGACTCTCATAAGCACGACGTGATCATTACTGACGGAGGAGGATGGGAAATCTTTTAAATCTGCAGAATAATAATGATATCAATCCTTATTCTATAATTTATATTCATTTGAATCCTTGAATATTTCAAAATCACAAAAATTTTACCTTGTATACAAACCTATTGTATGGCTAAGTGTACAATTTTTTTGGTTTTAATTACCACTAGTAATTTCATTTTCGTATAATACGAGGGCAGTATCATATTTTCTGGTCTCAATCGAGGTGCGGGGGTGAGACGCCGTGCGTAACCATAGCAACGCAGTAAGGCCATGAGTGTACATGTGATTTACACTGATGATTTATGGTTAATTTTACAAGGTTGAAACATACAATTCATTTCTACTTCAGGTCTGTAGGTATTTTGGGAATGGTATAATTCTATCGCCGTATAATATAATATCATGTTTTGCTTTAGATGTAAAAAAAATATGCAATCTGTTTTAAATAAAGTCTCAGTCTTGTTACGGCTAGGCCCAGTATATCCATTTCACTTTTTATTGTTTGCTTTCGTTACATTAATAATATTTAGATTTTTTATTTTTCTTTCATTATTAAAACCAAAGATAAAATGAATACGAAGAAAATACAGAAGAAAATGTATTTCAAAAAACAATGTGCTATTTATGATCTTCATCTCATCTGTACCCGATTTTTGTCAATATACCTACAATTCGATTACACCTGTCAAAATAACTATGACAATTCTAATAAATCAATAATACTCGAAACTGACAGGTGTGAGATTTCGAGCCTCACACAATGAAAAACAGTTTCTCTCCATCCGAGTTGCATCTCAAAGCGCTCGGTGGATGGTTCCTTCAATAAAATAAACTTAATGTCAAATACGTTCAGATTGCTCATCTATGCTAAACAAATAATAAGAAAATACAATTATTTCAATTAAAAGATAGAGTATAAAATAAGTGCATTGATTATATACATACTTAGTATTACCCTTTTATTTTAATCTAGCTGTTTACCCGCATTTTCAGATAAAGCGGACATTCGCCTTAATACAGTTTTATAATCAGCAAATATGTTTTAAATTTATTTATTAACACCAACAAGATTTACATTAACTTTTTCACGTAACTACGATATATATTAAATGTAATCATTATAATTGCGATCTTAACTAAAGAAATAAAGTTATCCATTAGAAAACTAATTTAATGTTTGTAATCAGTAGTTTTCAACGATAAATGATAGTCAGTTCTCGCACTTTAAATAACGAAATTGTAAATAATTATTAAATGGATCTCAATTACTTCCTACATTTTACATCCTACAGTAAGAATAACATAATTGAATTTAACACTATACTAAGCACCAACGTGGAAGGCTATAAATATAAAAGTCATGAAAAAGACGTGGTAAAGCAAGAAGGCTTTTTTCTTTATATATATTACGTAATAGTTTAGGCAGAAAGAATACATTTCAAGTTTGTTTATAATAGAACTTGTTCTGATTTACTGATTAGTCATCGCCGAGTCCAAACTATTAGGATAGAATAGGTGTTGAAAGTTTAAACGGAATCCTGTCAGATTTAAATTTAAAACTTGAAAAACTTTTTTAGTTTAAAGTACTAAAAAAATTAATACGGACCTCTTTTAATCATTTGAAGTAATTCTCTACGGCTAAAGATAATAGGATTTTGAACTACTAAGATAGTTTGTATGGAGAATACACCTTATTGATGAGAGGGTTATAATAAAAGTCACCTGTGGGCAATAATAATAAAAAGTATATATTTTATTTAGTCACTGCAGTAACAAAGTTTTTAAACTTATTTTAACACTGAGTCTCTTTATACTAATAAAATTATAGAAAAGAAATGTAAAACTATGGCGAAATAATGATAGTAGAAAATATGGTCAAGTGGTATGAGTGAGTACGCGCGATTGGTATGGCCATCGGTAAAACACTAACTTTTGCTTAAATATTAGAGACATTGCAAAACATAATTTAAAATAATTATGAATTAAGTAGCAGGCGAATATTGCTGACGCGCGTTGCCTACTTGAACTGTAATAGTTCAATGTCGGTCGGTCGGGACCGTACATAGTTCTTGTGAATATTTACACAGTTTTCTTATAGTATAACTGACTTCTCTTAAATCAATATTTTAAACAAATATTTTATTATGGTATAACTGACTTCTATTAAATCAACTATTAGTAATGTACCAAATCAAAAAGTTGTGCCAAAACCGTAGTATGTTAATTATTAACACGTGTATATTCATTGTTTATTTCTCCCTTTTTTAGGAAACAGACATACCATTATGCTGTTAACACATACACGTTATAACACAATATTTAGTTACGATTTTGACACTAAAGTATGAAAATTTATTTAAATATTTAGGAAAATAAGTATCGTTATTTAAAATTGAAACGTTGAAAATGAAACGGTTTTCTCATTTTGTGTTCACAATATAAATTTTGAATTCTTTAAGACTGCAGAAGTTTTTGGCACAAATCCGAGGCTCCTACGACATTCGTCTATATTATTGACTAGCTTGGCCCGCGACTTCACCCGTGTGGTCTAGTTTTGAGTCCAGAAATAATAAAAATCCATAAAAACTTTCATCCCCTAATTAACCCCCTTAGGTGTTGAATTTCGTAAAATCCTGTCTTTGTGAGCACGTACGACCTAAAAAGAACACGCATGCTAAAATTTTAAACTCCTAACATTTGTAGCAACGAATTTTAATACAAACTTTCATCCCTTAATTTAGCCCCTTCTGGGTGGACCCGAACGTGCTACCACATTCCTGAGGATGTGATGAAACACACCAAAGGAGCATTGAAAAGTCGAAGAACATGCTTTAATGAAAACAGAAGAAACATCTTCCTTGTGATAATACCATTCAGCATTATTCAAAATACAGTATTTCAAATTTGTTTTAAATACTGTAAGAAAAATCCTGATGCACCCATTGGGGTAACTTAACATAATAATAAGTTAAGCTTTAACATCATTAAAGCAGTTCTGCATCTAAATAAGCATTTACATTTCTGACAAAGATGAAGACAAAAGAAACAGAAGCGGAAAAACGATTATTCCTTACATCCGTCCTCATATGATATACTGCTACAAACGGTTTCCCTATACGCCTGCTAAAGCCGCGTACTCATTAGCGAGCTTTTCCTGAACCGAAACAGTAACAAGGTTTTAGTACAGTTTTTATACTTCCGTGTGCTAATTATTTAATATTAAAATAAACTGTAATCCTTTTCAAACGAAGCGAATGTGATTTATCGACTTATGTAACTTTAAAAGTATGCCTTTTGGAACGAACAATTATTTGAATGATCAAGAAACGTAATAAAAATTATGACATTCCTCTATCAGGTTTATTTTTTTATTTTAAATCGAAAAAATAAACCTGTTCTATACTATTGCTAACTCTGTATACAGGTTGCGCCCACCGCTAAATTATAGAGAATA